CTCCAAGTGAGGTCTCACCAGTGTTCTGTACAATGGCATGAGCACTTCCCTCTTTCTACTGCTAATACCTCCCCTATACAACCAAGCATTCTGCTAGCATTTCCTGCTGCTCTATTACATTGTCTGCCTACTTTTAAGTCATCTGAAATAATCACCCCTAAATCCCTTTCCTCATATGTTGAGGTTAGAACTCTATCAAATATTCTGTACTCTGCCCTTGGGTTTTTACATCGAAGATGCATTATCTTGCACTTAGCCACATTAAATGTCAGTTGCCACAACTGTGACCATTTTTCTAGTTTACCTAAATCATTTACAAAGAAATTATCACAAATATAAAATTGCTGGTGTGGTGAAAAGTGTATCCCACAACACTTAGAGATAAATAATAAAACAATAAAATAAATACTGCACCAGTCAACAAAATGACAATTTGGGATCAATCTAAAAAACTCAAATAACATAACATAGTGCAAAATGTGCTGCTCTCCTCAAGGATATCGTTTTAGCCTTTTTAGGCACCCTCCTGCATATTATACAGAGCCTGGGACGGCTCTAAAGCCTGTGAGTTTTACTCTACATAAGGGGTCTATCATTATATATATACATTTTGCACTATGTTATGTTATTTGAGTTTTTTAGATTGATCCCGAATTATCATTTCTTTGACTGGTGCAGTATTTATTCTATTGTTTTATTACCTAAATCATTTGCCATTTGGCTTATCCCTCATTGAACATCAACCATGTTACATATCTTGGTATCATCAGCAAAAAAATATACCTTACCAAAAAGACCTTCTGCAATAATACTAATAAAAATATTAAAGAGAATGGGTCTAAGTACAGATCCCTGAGGTACCCCACTGGTGACAAGCCCATGCTTCAAATATACTCCATTGACTACAACCCTCTGTTGCCTGTCACTCAGCCACTGCCTAACCCATTTAACAATATTGGAATCCAGGCTTAAAGATTGCAGTTTATTGATGAGCCTTCTATGTGGAACAGTGTCAAAAGCCTTACTGAAATCTTGGTATGCAATGTCTACTGCACCACCCTGATCTATTATTTTAGTTACCCAATCAAAAAAATCAATCAGATTAGTTTGGCATGACCTCCCGGAAGTAAACCCATATTGTCTCTGATCTTAAAATCCATGTGATTTTAAATGTCCATCAAGCCTATCCTTTAACATGGTTTCTATTACTTTCTCCACTACTGATGTAAGGCTTACTGGATTATAGTAGCTCCCTACTACCTTCCTTGTGAATGGGCACAGCATTGCTAATTTCCAATCTTCTGGGACTACCCAGCCCTGATAGCTCTGCTCCCTCGCACGCCATTTGCTGATGTATTCATATTTCGGCTCCCGACATCAGTAGACAGCCCGCGCGGCGCGAGGGAGCAGATTGGAGAGAACACAGCTCCCTCGCCATGTCTGACTGGAAGACAGCTGCCCGCCTCACTGAAGCCCCACTGGACCCGAGGGACAGGTCCACGCCAGCTCTCCAGGTAGGGAGGCTGGGTGGACATTTGTAAATTTAAAAAAATATGAATAATTTGTGTGTTTCTGTGAGTGTGTGTGTCTGAGTATGTGTGTGTCTGAGAGTGTCTGGGTATGTGTGTGTCTGTGTGTGCACGCATTTATATATGCATAAGAGTGTATCATTTATTTATTTTGGGGGGGGTGGATCTTGGGTGAGTTCCCACACTTTTTTCCCTAGGACTTGACCCCTGATAACGCCATTACACTCTGAAAGTCATGAAAATGAATTATATAGAGCCACAGACTGTGCAATATGCCTTTTATCCACAACTCTAAGTCTACCAGATCTCACAGAAATCCATCTGCCATTCCTAGGACGTCTCTGCGGCAGTGACTTTGCAACAGTCCCAGTCTGAGTTTGTTTAACAGATAATTTACAAATCTCAGGCTTCAAAAATGCACAACAACTATTACACTATATTAAGACTGTCATTTTATTGAGGTGAGTAATTTGAATCAAACAAATAAAAACTTATTTTTTTTCTCTCAACTCCTGTATACCTCAGATTACTTCTAGTTTATCTCCAGAATATCTCCAAGCACACACTTTAAAGCAGCACTGAGAGGCAGCAACCAAGTTAAATGTGCTACCAGTTCCCTGATGTCTCTGAATGAAAGACACCAGGGAACATAATTGAGATGACGGGGAGAACCCCAAAATCAGGACTGTGGTGGGGCTTGATGTAATATTTACTCCATAATGCATTTGGGGCCCTCTTAAACTCAGGGCAAGACAGTATATACATGTTTCAGTCTGTCCATGAGTAATGAGAATTACTCTACCGGGAAACATCTGATATTTGCAGTTAATATATTTTAATTCAGTATTTGACAATAATGATATTTTAGATAGATAGTGTATCTTCATCCAGTAATCTCACTTCCACAAGTAATCTCAGATTGGCAGTTAATTGAAAGTTTCACTTTAATGGTCACCATCCAACCTACTGTGCCATGAGAACTACAAATAGACATATGAAGGAATAAAGCTTAATTTTTACATATGTAATATATTATATGAAAGTACTGTATATTGTACTTATGAATGTAATGTTTAAATTTTTTACAATATATTGATAATGCTTCGCCCACATGACCTCAATATGGCGCCAAATTCAAACAACTTAATTGCAATTAGTCCCCTATATAAACCATGAGATGCCAGGTTGATTATTCTACCTATTATATTGTCTACTTGAAGAAGTCTTAAAGGTGAAACGCGTTGTAGATATATTTTACTTATTTATACCAATAAAGGATTTTTTTTAATATCTTCTCAATTTGGCATCCTGATTTACCATCTTAAAGATGACTAAAGAATCCTAGGTGGGCATAATACCACCAGCGCTCTACTCATCGAGCAGTAAGCCTGCTCAAACAAATGTGAGTACATCTCTTATACTGTTAATTATTCTAAAGTTTTACTTCTACAGTGAGCACTATATTTGCCATTTTTTATTTTCCCGGTTTGAAACCTCTATCATTGCAAAAAATTAAAGAATTTACCTACCACATACATTCCACTTCACGCTATTCACACCAGAGCTGAATATAACTCTGGTAAATGTGAGTTAAACTGACTTTACATAGATATTAAAATATATCCTATCAGGGCCGGCCTTAGGTGATCAGACGCCCTGTGCGAGCCCAACATATGGCGCCCCCCCCCTTCAGCAAAACCTCTGCCCCTTCTACAATAGCCCTGTTCCGCCTTCTACAAAACCCTTCCACAAACCCCAGCCCCCCTTTCTACAAAAACCCTGCCCCCCTTTTTACAAAACCCCTGCCCCCTCTACAAAACCCCTGCTCCCCCTTTAATAAAACCCCTGCCCACCCTTCTATAATTTTTTTTCTCCCCCTTTAACAAAACACATGCTATCATTATATATATCAACTATACAGCAATGTTCACATAATATCACTAAAAACCTTCCCCCTCCACCAAAACCACTGCCACCCTCTACAAAAGTCCTGCACTCATTCTACATAAACCTCTGCTCCCCTTCTACAAAACCCATGCTCCCCTTATACTAAGCCCCTGCTCCCCTTCAACTAAACCCCTGCTCCCTTATACTAAACCCCTGCTCCCCTTATACTAAACCCCTGCTCCCCTTATACTAAACCCCTGCCCCCCTTATACTAAACCCCTGCCCCCCTTATACTAAATCCCTGCCCCCCTTATACTAAACTCCTGCCCCTCTACAAACCCCTGCTCCCCTTATACTAAACTCCTGCCCCCTTTACAAACCCCCTGGCCCCCCTTCAACAAAACCCATGCCCCCTCCACAAAATCCTTTCCCCTGCCACTTCACCAGAAATGCCTGCCCCCTCTTCTACAAAACCTCTCCTCTACACCAAAACCCCTACCCCCTTTTTTACAAAACCTCTAACCCCTTCTATAAAACCTCTGCTCCTCCCTAAACCAACCCCCTTCTACAAAACCCCTACCCCAAAATCCCAGCGAGAAAACCTCTGCTCCCCCTTCTGCAAACCCCCACACACACACACACAAAAACAACAATCTATTTAATTAAAAAAAAAAAAAAAAGCAATAGTTACAACAAGAATAAACAGACTCACATTAAAGCTTGCTGCTCCCTGGAACCTCCTGACAGTGTCCCAGTCTGCCGACCTTGATACCAGCACTGACCTCCTCCCTCACACTCACTGTGCGGATCCTTCCGCGGATGACTGTGGAGGCGGAGCATGCTCTTCCTCCGTGCTCCTGACCTCCTCTCTCTCCCGGCCGCTGCTCTCTTCATAATTTGCAAGTCAAGTGCGCAGCATAATGCACTTGACTTGCTCTGCACATGACTCGGGCCGGCCTGTGAGTGACTGAGTGCGAGCTGTGCTGGCCGCCCGGCGCCCCTGTTGCCATGGCGCCCTGTGCGGCCGCACAGCTCGCACACCCCTAAGGCCGGCCCTGTATCCTATACTATACTGTACCATTGGAGTTCTCTCTTTTATGTTTTACATGTACTTCTGGAATCACAAGCACTCCACCTCCAAGAATCTCTGATTTTATCCAGTCTGGCTGTTCCCTTCAAGACGTTTTATGACTTTTTACATACCATTGTATTTGGACTACATTTGTCTTATTATATATATTACTTCTGTTATTTTTATCTTTGGTATATTCCATTGTATTAAGGCGCATCCTTCTTTCCTTTTCTTCTTTCTATTGCATATTGTGGGGTATCAAGAGCGAACCCCTTTCCGCTTGTAGGTGTGCTGCCTTTTAAGTATATTATTTTCTGTGACCGTATCCAGCGCTGATCCTTCTGTGATAATTATCTCTTAATGACTGTGTTTCTGAACATTATCCAACCTCCCAACTCTGGAATGTGTGTTGGAGTGCGTAACGTTGACAGGGTATGTGATGTGATGAAATGTAAGGCCAAAGTAGTTACAATTCTCTAACTCAGCTATTCTACCAGTTGCGCTACTTTGAAATTAAATTAGAAATTTCACTTTAAATTCTCACTTTAGTGAATAACTATGTTCGTGGCCTGGTCCAGGCCTGAAGAACATTGGAATTGCAGGTAATCAGCCTATGCACAAACTAGAAAACTCCCTGCACAATTCCTGCCTCTGCTTGGTTCTGGCAGTACTGAGCAGTTGCCTGCAATTCTATTCCACACAGGCACGGTGTAAGGCTGCAGCCCACAACCTTTGGATGCTAGCCCTCTCATGGGAAAAATGCAGAATTCAAAATCACATGTGTTATAAAAGAGACATGCAGCTGAAGAGGTCTGGAGACTCAGCCTTTGGTCTTTTGGTTTATAATGATGTACCTGGACTTGTCCTGGAATACACACTTCACTATTATATATAGATCATATAGATTATGCATAGATCATGTAAAAATCATCATAATAATATGCAATATTTTGACACTCACGTCGCATAGCTCACAATTATTTACAATTATTTCTTTAGTGCATTGCAAACCAATAGGTTTTGAATTTCTCTATGCCAGGAATCAATCACTGCCTTTTGCAAGAGCAGCGCCCAAGTGAGTTGCATTACATGCCTTAATATCAACACTCCAAACATAAAGAGTACAAACATGCATCTTAAAGACACATGCATCTACGTCCTGCCTATGGCATGGTTTTTATTTATTAATAAAATTCATCAACCAGGGCCAAACCTATAACGGTTCAGAGAAGGTTGCACTAGGAAAGGAGGAACCCAAAAGGTCTCTTGACATTTTTTCTTGAATCATAGAAATAATTGGCCAGTTATATAAATGTGCATAGAGATTTGGGATAGTGTGTAAGTAACTCTTTTCTTTTCTGGTTTTGGTTTTTATTGCATGTATTGGGGCTGATGTGAAATATAGATATTGCTGTCACCCAGGAGTAGTGGGAGTTTGAGCGAAGGGTTTTATTTTGTATGTTCATATTTGCTTTTTTATCACACAGCATGTTACAATGCTGCCACTCACCCAATGTGTTCCCTATTAAGGGTTAATAAGTCTTTGGGGGTTTAGAAAATTACCCATCTCTACTCTTACCCTACTCTTCGTTATCCTTCCTTCTCCTCCCTACCTTTTTATTTTTACTTTTATCTCCATCATCCTCTTTTTTCCCTTTTTCCCTCTTCTTAAGCTTAAAACTTTCCTTCTCCTTACACCAAGGTGGAAAAGTGCGCTGCGTGGAGTTTTACTATACTGCTAGCTGGAATCTCTTAAGCCACCTTGGGAAGCTAATTTACTGTTTGGAATTTCACAAAAATAAAGAAAATAAGAGGCACAATATCAATAAACATGCAGAATAGTGAATGCTATGAGTATTACTTATTCTCTGTGAGGCAATCTTAAATGTCCATCTGTAACGAGATCAAATATTCTCTGATCTCAAAAATACATAATTGGGCACTCACAATCTTCAGAGCCAAATATAGCATGCTCCAGCTATAATGGCATATAGTTATAATTAGCACTTCTGGATTGTACTCCACTTTGCTGGTAGCTAGATAAGGGATATAGGAGGTAATGAAAATAAAGTTTCCTTTTTTTTTTCCTTTTCCTTCTCTCTTTTCTGTTGATGGTTTGGTGGAAGAGAGCAGGCCACTGAATATTTATGGAGTGAGATAAAAATAAAGTTTACTGCACTGCGGTTTGTTCTGCATCATCTAGCTCAAGGGTGGGCAACCGGGGAGATGGGGGAGAGAGAAAGAAAGAGAGCAAGAGAGAGGGGGAGGGGATGAATTATTTGTGGCAATATAGAGGAGGAACGGTAAAAAACAACCTATGCAGAACTGTGCAATTAGAGAAATTAAAGGATTAGAGAGAATCTAAAAACTAAAGAAACGTTTAAATCAAAAAAAGATGTTAAACTGTTGTTTCACCAGAATAGCACAGGTTCAACTAGTTAAGAAAATAATTTCTGAGCTGATGTTCTATTTGAACAGCTGCCTATCTCTAAGGGAACTTTCCCATACCCTACGGGCGTTGCTGTAAAGGCCATCATTGTACAGAACACAAGTTTACTATACAGCCAAAGGAAAAGCCTTTTTATGTGTGTTTTCTTAGTATAATTTTTCCCATATTATGCTGCTTTAGATTTTCTCTCAAATTCTGTTTTTTAGATTTTTTGCAAAAAACTCCTTCAGGGTTATTCGAAAGTGACAATTTAAAGGACCACTATAGGCATCCAGACCACTTCAGCTTAATGAAGTGGTCTGGGTGCCAGGTCCACCTAGGATTAACCCTTTCTGCTGTAAACATAGCAGTTTCTCTGAAACTGCTATGTTTACTTTAGGGTTAATCCAGCCTCTAGTGGCTGTCTCATTGACAGCCGTTAGAGGCGCTTCTGCACTTCTCACTGTGATTTTCACAGTGAGAAGACGCCAGCATCCATAGGAAAGCATTGAGAATGCTTTCCTATGAGACTGGCTGAATGCGCACGCGGCTCTTGCTGAGCATGTGCATTCAGCCGATGACGGGGAAAGGAGGAGGAGAGTCTCCAGCACCGAGGGAGCTGGAGAAAGGTAAGTGTCCTCTCCATCCAGCCTGGCGGGAGTGGTACCCTGAGGGTGGGTGCACCCTCAGGGCACTATAGTGCCAGGAAAATGAGTATGTTTTCCTGGCACTATAGTGGTCCTTTAAAGTGTATTCAAAGGAAATTTCAAATTGAAGGTCAAAATAGCTGACCTGGAAAAACTCTTATCACTCAGCTTTGCTTCCAGTACTGTTACATTGCTGTTAAAGGAACATTTGGGCACCATAACCACTTCATTAGAATTAAGTTGTTATGGTGCCATGAGGTATCGGGCTTACCTTTAGCAGTTAAACTCCAAAGTGTTGAACCCAGCGCCATTTAGCTATGTACCTATTCTTGTACTTTTCTCCAATTTATGACACAGGTAGCTTCATACAGGGGTGCCACTACTTGGGTTAGAGCATCACCTGGTGCTCAATGCCATTCAACAGCTCACCATTCACAAAACCTTTTGAGAAATATTTGTCCTTTAAGATGCTCTTAAAGTAGTCTGTAACTGACATTGGCACAGACAATGGAGCTCCCCCACCAGGGATCCTGCTCACCCTCCACTGGACCACCAGGGTTAGTGGAGGGGAGGACAAAATATACACACAACACTCAGTCACTACCCACAACACTCAACAGCACAGATATACACAGTCAGCCCCCCATACAGGTCTCAGTCTCCTCCACACACACACACAACACTTAGCCACTAAACACACTCTCACACACACAACAAGCAATATTTAAAGAAATGTTCCCAAAGCCTTTATAAAAACTATATATATATATATATATATATATATATATATTATTTATTTATTTCCCCCCAGCATAATCAACAGATATACTTAAGACAGAGTAGACATTGTTTTAATCCTTATAAAATTAAACAGCCAAACTTGGAAAATTGGTTAGGCCATGACACTTCTATATAGCTGGTAGAAAATGGCATCTCAATGATCATGCACAAGAAGAATTTGTAAAGGGTTAGACGTTCTTGCAGAGAATGATGTGGCTCCTGGCAGATGAGATTGAGAATAGAGAAAGAGCAGACAGCTTCAAGTGAATATATTTCCTCCCTCCTCTTCTCCTTCAATGCACCATTATACTACAGAGAAGCCACGTCACATCAACAAAGTTCACAACATCTGCAGAGACCCCACAGGTAACAAGTCTATTTAAAAGAGTGATCAGAGATACATACCTGGAGGGCGGAGCCTGAACACCGATTGAGCAGGACGTGTGAAGCCTGAGCTCTCCCGTCCACGAGCTATAATCTGCTAATATGTGCACTTTTTACCAGGCATCCAGCCACACAAACGGGCAATAAGACACCCACTCAAGCCCTCTACCCAACTCTAGCATGGGGGGACCAAAAAAGAAGAAAGAAACCCCGGTCTCAGTGGCATCACTATTCCGTACTCCTAGAGACCAGGGGTGGCCATCTTCCAACCAGGGAGCACAAGACTCACATGAATCTGGGGCAGAATCTGATGGCGGCGAGCCTCCCAACGAAACAACAGCAACACACTACCGTGGAGCACGAGAGCCGCTCACAAAATGTTGCAGGACGCCACAGCAAACATCAAGGCGCACACAGCCGCGGAACTAGAGTGGCATAACACAACTAAAAGGCTAAGGCTAAAGTGAGAGGTTTTAAGTCTCTTCTTTTTTTTTATGTGGTTGGGGCTAGGTCTTGAAGGAAGGCCAGCGAATGAGTCCCGTGTGTGGGTTGCGCTTTTCTGGCCGCCGCCATGATTCTCTCCTTCGTGGCAAAGTGGAGCAGGCGGACGATGATGTCCCTGGGGACTGTTGGGTTTAGGGGGGCCAGGGGTCGTAAAGCTCTGTGCGCTCTTTCTATCTCTCTTTCTTGGTCCGTGGAGTTTGGGAGCATGGACGGGAATAGTTCCTGTAGGGTGGGCAAGATGGCGTCCGCTTCTACCGTTTCCGGCATGCCCCTCATCCTTATATTGTTTCTGGGGAACGGTTATTTAAGTCCTCCAAGCTATCTTCAAGGTATTGTATTTTATCACTTAAGTAGAAGATGTCTTGGCTGTGTTGAAAGGGAATGCCACGCCGCAAACTCCCCCGCGACCAAACAAAATGGAGTGGCATGAAACAAGTCATAAAAGACTCACAAGGAAGATATATTACAATCACAGGTCAGGCAGGTCACAACCAATACGCTATCGCCTCACTATACGCTCCAAACACTCCAGACAAACAGTTCTGGGACACATTTCAAGCACACCTAGCTCTAACCCCAGGCCACCATAAAATTATAGGTGGAGACTGCAATGCCACACTGTCGCCATCGGCAGATAGGCACAGAACTCGAAAAACCCCAATCCCCACATCCAAATTAGACAAACTTCTGCAAGACTTCGTGTTACGTCAACGACTGGTAGACATCTGGCGACTACTACACCCGACACCCCACCACCCGGGACTACACATTGTATTCCCACCCCCACAATTCATACTCCCGCATCGACCTCTTCCTGATCTCACCCTCCCTCACACACAGGACACGAACAGCCAATATCGGCAACATCTTGTGGTCAGACCATGCCGACATCGCAATATTGATCAAATTACCCAACATAGCCCGCCCCTGGGCCTGGAAACTCAATCCAACCCTGCTACATAACCCGTTAGTGAAAGACGCCAT